GTTAAGTGTTGGCATCAACTAATAATAAGAAGTTGAGAAATCGATTTTAAAAAGAAGATTTAACAGGCTGTATCTTACCACTGGGGACTTGGTGGAGAGAAAAATGAAATAAGGGCTTTTTGGTTGTCATTAGTTGCTGCTGAGTCAGTTCCAACTTACAGGGACACTATGTGCAATGGAATGAAACACTATGCGGTCCTGTGGCATTCTCCCCAGCATTGCTAGGCTTGAGTCCATTATTGCAACAATGGTGTTTAATCTAGCTCATTTAGAGTCTTCTATCTTTAAATTTTAAAAAAAACTTTTTATTGTGAATTGAGTGATACTTTACATGGGAAAACATTGGTTTTATATTCATCCTATCATATTTCGTTTCATTGCAATGATTACAATCCCCTCCATGCATCATCATTCAACAGAATTTGCTTCTATTCTCTGTTTTTGTTTTTGTTTTTTAATGTACACAAAACCACTCAGGAATATATAATCATGTAAACAACCAACCAAAGGGTCCATTCTGCAAGCCTGCCTCCTGGCGGCCAGCACACAGCTTTTCTCTTTCCATGAGTCTAGAGTCCTCAGCTGCTATCTCTCCATGTCCTCATCTCTGCCTCCATCTCTGGTGTCACTGTTTCTCTGGATAGGGCCCCACATTCTGCTTATACTCTTCTCCCTTGATGGTCCTAGGGTCCTCTGTTCCTGGACTATAAGATTAACTACTCCTCTGTTTGTTACAAAACTTCTACTTTTACAGTTGTGACAATTGCAATTAGTCATGATAACAATTACTCACTTTTGAATCTTATCCCTATCTTTTTTCACCAGACCCATCTAGACAAGCTAAAAACAGTGGGGGTTCTACCTTCCCCCTCCATACTGTATTTTGGTGACTGTTCTATCCCATGACTTAAGTCTCTATGGTTCCTTGGTCTAATCTTGTTCTGTTGTGTTTGGTAAGAGATTTCCCTACAGTGAATGAGAAAAGGAGTCCTATTCAGGCAGCACTCTGAGGAGCTCTGGTAGCATAGTGGTTACGAATCGGGCTGCAAACCTTAAGGTCAGCGGTTCGAAACTACCAGCTGCTCCACGGGAGAAAGATGAGGCTTTCTACTCCTGTAAAGATTTACACCCTCGGAAACCCTGTACAGGGTCGCTATGGGTCGGAACTGACTCGATGGCACTTAACAACAACAACAACTGAGTCTCCAAGGAAGGAGCCCTGGTGGCACAGTGGATTAAACATTGAGCTGTTACAAGGTAGATGGTTCAAATCCACCAGCCACTCTGTGAGAAAAAAGATGAGGCTGTCTGCTCCCATAAAGATTTACAGTCTCAGAAACCTACGGAGCAGTTCTAATCAGTTCTATAGAATCACTATGAGTCAAAACTGACTGACAGCAAAAGGCTCTGGGTCTTCAAATCTCCATTCTCTGATAGAAGGGAGATGAAGAACAGCACCCACTGAAAAAAAAAAACATCAACACTTGGTCTCATAATATACCTTGTTGGGAGCAGACCACCTCATCTTTGCATAGCTGGTAGCTTCGAACTGCTGACCATGAGGCTGGCAGCACGACTCGTAACCACTACACTACCAGAATTCCTGTAATATACCTAGAACTGCAATTATTTATAATCTTAGGCATGCTAATCAGAGAATTTGTATTTTTTAAAAATCAGGGTTATTCCAGGATTACTAACTGCTATCCCCAAATACTGAGAGTATGGTGTCTCTGTATAAGCACTGGACTGAGAACAACAAACTGCTCCACGGGAGAAAGATGCAGCTTTCTTCTCTAACAGATTTTAAGCCTCTAAAACCCTATACAAGGTCACTATGAGCTAGAGCTGATTCAATGGCATTTAACAACAACAACAATCTCCAAATATAAGGACTCCTGGAGGCACTGTAAGATAAGTGCTGGGGTGTTAATTACCAGGTGGGCAGTTCAAACCCACCAGCCACTCTGTAGGAGAAAGAAGCTTTCTACTACTATCTAGATTTAGTCCTGGAAAACCTATAATGGGTCACGATGAGTTGGAATCAACTTGATGGCAATGAGTATGGTTATTTATTTTTTTTTTGCATCTAACAATATATATAAATTATAGATGAAGGAAGAAGTGAAGAATATAAACATATATATGATGGAAACATAAAAGAAGGAGCTAAAAATTAATGTAGTTTTGGTGATTCCCAATATTTGAGAAATATAAAAAATGTACAGATCATCAGAAGTCAAGACAAATTATCATTAGACCCCTTTCCTCAGTGATTAAGTAAATATTCCACTGAAGAAAGGACACTGACCCCAGCCTTTACTGAAACTAAAGGGAAGCAAAGTCAGTGACAGACAATTCCTCCTTTGTCAATCTGAAGGTAATATGCAGATAATAGGGTTTTGGTATGGTGCTGTGGGATAAAGCACTGAACGGAAAGGTTGGTTTGAACAACAAGGTCGTTCAGGTCCAAGGACTGGCTGGTTCAAACTTACCAGCCTCTCTTAGGAAACCCTACATAGCGTCACTATGAGTCGAAACTGACTAAACAACATTTAAGATTAACAACATGCTGATAATACAACCCTGCTTGCTGAAAGCAAAGAAGACTTAATATGCTTACTGATAAAGATCAAAGACCATAGCCTTCCGTATGAGTTGCACCTCAATGTAAAGAAAACATAAATCCTTACCACTACAACAATAAATATGATAAATGGATCAAAGACTGAAGTTGTCAAAGATAACTTGGACTCACTGTAAAGACTCATGGAAGCAGCAGTACTACAGTGTGCCTGATCCCAGCCATGGTATTTTCAATAACATGAGAGCTGGACAGTGAATAAGAAAGACCATAAACCAACTGATGCATTTGAGTTATGGTGTTGGAGAAGAATATTTAAAGTACCACAGACTGACAGAAGAACAAAGAAATCTGTGTAAAAAGAAGCACAACCAGAATGCTCCTTATAAACCAGGATGGTGACACTCTCTCATGTTTTGTTGTTGTTGTTGTTACATGCCATTGAGTCAGCTCTGATCCACAGTGACCCTGCATAGGGCTTCCAGCTTGCAGGTAAAACGGCTTTGCATAAACCCACAGTGCCACACCAGGTCTCCCTGTCTCTCATAGTTCAGGCATACTGTCAGGAAGGACCAGTCCCTGGAAAAGGACATCATGCTGGATAAAGTGGAGGGACAGCAAAAAAGAGAAAGACTCCCAATGAGATGGATTGGCACAGTGGCAGTAGCAGTGGGCTCAAGCTTAACAACAATGGTGAGAATGGCACAGGACCAGGCAGTGTTTCATTTTGTTGTGCACAGGGTCACTATGAGTCAGCCCAACTCTATGGCACCTAACACCACCAACATTAATTGTCAAAGGGATAAGATCAGGACCTTGCATTCTTTTCTCACCAGCCATTCCTAACTCTCTAGAAGATGATTTTTGTCATATAGATCTCATGGGTGACAAGACCAAGGAAGCACCAACATTGTCAACTTCCCTCAGCTCCGCCCAGGTGGTACAACAAACCAGAAAGTCTTGTGCATGGGACACAATCACACCTCAGCTAACGCTCCGAAAGACTCTTCAGGGAAATCTCTCTATTCTCTTGAATACAGTTCTGCTTCCAGGTCATTTGTAATTACTATAGCATCATGTCAGCAAGATATTAACCAATTGTGACACAAAATATGTACAGCAAGGAACATGTTAGTCAAATGCTAAGAGCATTAGATAGTGCTAACAATGTGAGCAAGTTTATTGTTATTTAAAAAAAAATACACCTCAATCCTATTTCTATAATTCAATCTCTACCTTCAAACTCAGCCTTTAGTGTGTGTAATATAACCTTGGCTTAGATAGAACACGCGTCAGTAAAAAGCCCAGAACAGCCACTACAATGCACCATAGACCAAAGGAAAAGCGTGATTTTAGGTCAATCCTCTGTTCATCGAGTCGCAACAGTAATTCCATTTATAGAAAATAAACAAGACTCCCAAATTTCAAAAGTTTAAAGTTTCATTAGAAAAATCAAACAAATAAAAAATGTATTTATCAAGAATAACAATGATATTTCATTCAACAAATTCATTTAAAACATGACTTACAGTGTAGAAAGAGAAATAACAGCAGAAAGTCTTATACAACTAACAGATTTGCATAACCAGTCCCTTAAAAACAAACAGTGCACCATATGCTTTTAATAAAAGGCAACTGTAGTTCCATATTCTAAACTGTAACCTTAAACTGATGGTTTCTCTAATTGGTTTTACATTAAATTTTCTCCATACCAAGTTAAAAAATATGTCATTTCCTCAATCATCAAGTACTTTAGTCCCTAAAATGTTTAACACTAGTACCGGAAAACCAGGTGTCTTTGCTTCAAAGTTCAATCCAAGTTCAAGTCCACACCAAAGTCCTAACATTTGTCCTTGTTTGCTTCGTAGGATGCATGACTAAGAGCCATCTGTGGCTGTACTACTGAGATGATGATGACGAGCTTTTTGAGTTTTTAAGTTTGGGTTGTTGTTTTTTTAAGTATGCTGAAATATTCAAATTATATCTGAATTTTTAAGAGTAAAAAGAAAAAAAGTAGTTTCCCTCTTTTTATGGTTTCATCAAGAAAATGTTACAACATTGGCAGAAGCTAAACTCCATCCGATGACGCACGTTCTCTGCTTCTGCAGTACTGTTATTAAACTACAGATCGGATATTTTTACCTTTTAGTTGGACTCTTTCTAAAAAGCAACAGCCTTTGTAATGAGTAGGAATTAAGCTCAGTCTCAGAAGGCAAAGGCATTTGTGCTGCATTTTGTTCTGTTACATGCACATGACAAAGAGTAGGATCACTTGGTGGAAAAAATAGCGTGTCAACTGCAAGGAAAGTTGGTTAAAATATCCCTGCAGCAAAGTGCAAGCTGGAACTGAGTTCTAAATTAGTCTCTCAATTGAAATTCAGAATGCAATAAGCAAGGGCATTAACAAGATGAGAAATTACCGAGGTGGAAAGCCACCCCTGTGAGCTCCTCCACGGCCCCCTCTAAAGCCACCTCTTTCTCCTCGGAAGTTAGATCGATTTCTTTCTCGGCCGCGACCAGCAGAAGTTCCACCTCTTCCTCCACCCCTGGGAGCTCCACCTCCCCGATCAGATTTAGATTTGGGAGGAGGTGATTTCGGTCGGAGTCTCTCAATTTCTTCTGTACATCCAGTCAGGTAGGAATTAGGAGTGCTGAAGTAGGATGCATATGTTTCTGCATTGTAGTTGCTATTCGTAAGAGTTGGTCCAACTGTAAGCCAGCCTAAAATGGAGGAACAAACAGATTATCTTTTTTTTCCCCCCAACTCTCTTCTCTTATTGATATTTTAGGGCCCAACTCTAATCCACACCATATTCCTTTTTTTCGTTTTCTAGCTGGGTGAAGGTTTAGAGAGCAGATCATCAGTTTTACATTCTATAATTCATACACATTTTGCTTCATCTCATGAACTGCAATGTCCTCAATGTAACATCACTTAGCCCACTTCCTACTTGTGTTTCTTGTTTCCACCATTCCTCTTTCATTCCTAACCCTTTTGAACTTTATCCTCGGGTAAATAATACCCTCTTGATCTCAGATGATTGATTATTCTAAGGTATAGAATATACCTCATTTGTGTTACTGTTCCCCTTACAGATCTATCTAATGTTCCCTGAAAACTGAGCCACAGGATGAGTTCAGTTCCAGATCTGAAGAGTAAACTAAGGGCCATAGGCTCTGCCTTTTACTAGTCTCTATCTGATTCATGGAGTTCTGGTGTGGCGTTGTGGGCTAATGTGCAGGACTGCAAAGTCACTTGAACCACAAGGTTGATGGTTAAATCTCACCAGCCACTCCTTGGAAACCCTACATAGTGTCGCTATGGGTCAGAACTGATTCGACAGCACTTAACAACATGTGATTCGTATGCCTGGTCTTTTTTGTGATTTTGAGTTTGGCTCTACATTTCACTTCCTCTTTAATCAGGACCTTCTAATATGATCCCTTTGAAAGAAGTTGATAGTGGTAAACAAACACTAGTTCTTTTAGTCTCAGGGTCATGGAGACTTAAGTTCACATAGTCCATTAACCCACTGGAGTTATTGTTTCCACATGTCTTCGATTTTCATTACTCTTCTTTCTTCTTGACAGGGAAAAACCAACAGTTGCACCTTAGATGGTCGCTCCCAAGCTTTTAAGATCCCAGCTTTTAAGATCTTACTCACCAAAGTACAATACAGAACACTGTTTTTGTAGGCTATACCAATTGACCATGGTACCCCAAGACTATGGTCCTGAGCCCCCAAGCTCAGCCATTCATTCCCTCAAGGTATTTGGTTATGTCTAAGAATAACTTTGCCCACTGTATGTTCCAGCACATATCATGAATATATTTGCAACAAAGGTAAATACTCCCATGTACAAATATCCTCTGTCAAACCTATTTGTAAGTATATCCCCATTCTTTCTCTCACACCCATTCAGCCCACATGTGTATTCATGCATCTGCCCTTAGATCACTGTGATCACCGGGTTGTGTATTTAACAGGATTTACCTCTGCTACCTTTAACTTTTGCACTTCTCATCGTGTCATCCCCTACACCTCCATCATATTTTTGTCAATCTTCCTATATTTATTGTATGTTGTATTGTCCCCCACTTGTTAATACATGGCGACTCTCTAGCCAGTGAATTACAGCTCCTTCCCTCCCACCCCTAGTACCCATCAAAGAATGTTTCTTTTAGTGTGAAAACCTTTTCTTAACTTTTTACTGAGGTGGTCTCACACAATATTTGTCCTCTGGTGATTTCACATAGCATAATTTCCTCCATCCCCACTATATTCTTAAAGATGTCTGCTATCACTCACCCAGAACTCCTGCCATGTAATTATTTATGGTGTGGTGCTGTGGGTTAATGCTCCAGACCACAAAGCTGTTTGAACTGCAAAGTCGGTAGTTTAAGCTCACCAGCTGCTCCTTGGAAACCCTATACAGGGTCACTATAGGTCGGAATCGACTCAACAACAACATATTTGAATGGCTTCATTCAAATAATATGTGAAGGAAAAAACAACAGGTAAAGCATACTGTGCCTTTTATATCTCACCTACTGACAGTCTGATTGGTAGAAAAGATTAATGAGCACATTCTATACCAGTGTGATCTCACTGACTATTGTATCCATCAGAGATTGTACCCTCCTAGTTTGTGGTGGTTTTTGGCATGTTTGTGGAATTCTACAATACAACATACAAATAAGGAGTGAGAAACAAAAATTTCTAAAGATATAATAAAAACAGCTAATAGTATCTTCTTTCATATTATACCTTAAAAATACAGGATCATCTTTGGGAAGTTAACTCATTACAGAAGTCTAATGGACTTTTGTTTTTCTCTCCCAAATTCATTTCGACTGTATTTTATTATAACCTTCTAAAGACCAATGATTTATTCATTGCAAATGCCTTTTTTAAACAACATAAAAGACGGATATATATATGGATCTCACCAGATGCAATCCACAAGAATCAAAAGCAAAGTTTGAGGACTAAGGTGTGTCTGACCTAACTCATGGTATTTCTACAGCCTCATATGCATATCAAAGTTGGACAATAAATAAGGAAAACCAAAGAAAAACTGATGCATTTGAGTTATGTTGGAGAAGAATCTTCCAAGTATAATAGACTGTCAGATGACAAGATTTATAGCCAGAATGTTTCTTAGAAGCAGAATGACAAAATTTTGTCCCTCATACTTTGGACATGTTATCAGGAGAAATCAGTTCCTGCAGAAGTACAACATGCATCATAAAGCTGGGGCCCAGCAAAAAAGAAGAAGACCCCCAATGAGATGGGCTTCAATGCAACAGTAATTGTGAGGATGACTCAGGACCAGGCAGTGTTTTCTTCTGTTGGGTACAGGGTTCACCACGAGTCAGAAGCAACTCAACTGCACCTAACAACAACAACAAAGATATAACTGAAGCCCTTAAGTGGAGCTGTAGGGTAAGCCCTAGACTGCTAACAGCAAGGTCAGTGATTCAAACCTACCAGCCATTCCTCAGAAACCCTGTGCACTATGGATTGAAACCACATTACCAGCACTTTACAACAATCAAGGATAACTAATGGCAAAGTAAACTTAAAATAGTCTGGCTTAAGATTGTTTTAAAACTCCCATGGTGGTGGTGGTGGTTATGTGCCGTGGAGTCAGTTCCGACTCACAGCGACCCTGTACAGCATTTTTGAGGCTGTGAAGCTTTATGGGAGCAGAAAGCCTCACCTTACTCCCATGGAATGGCTAGTAGTTTTGAACTGCTGACCTTGAGGTTAGCAGTTTAACTCATAATTACTATGTTACTAGAAGTCCTTTATCTATTTTTAAAACTTCGATAGCAACAGAGTTATGGTGGGGCACTGTAGGAAAAGCACTGAACTGCTAATTGCAAAGTCAGTGGTTCAAATCCACCACTTACTTCTTGGAAACCTTATATAGGGTCGCCATGAGTCAGAACCAACTCAAGAACACTAAATAACAAAATAACAACAAAGCAATGGTAATAGTATTGCTAAGGTATATGTGATATAGAGTATTTTTGTTTGCTTCTTTCCAAATCACCTACAATACTGCTCTTGTTGTTAAGTGTCGCCGAGTCGATTCCAACCCATAGTGACCTTGTATAGGGTTTCCAAGGAGCAGCTGGTGAGCTTGAACTACTGACATTGCAGTTCATACAACTTTGCAGTCTGGCGCATTAACCCACAGCGCCACACCAGGACTCCTCTTTAAATCTGTAAAAAGCAAAGGTGTCATTTGTGGTGCTGTAGGATAAGCACTCAACCATAAGGTCAGCGGTTCAAACTCACCAGCCACTACTCAGAAACCCTATAAAGGTCACTATGGGTTGGAACCATCTAGATGGCACTTAACAATTAACAGTCTGATCCAAGACATGGTCTTTTCAATCACCTCATACACATGTGCAGGTGAGAGTTGGAGAGTGAAAAGGACATACAGAAGAACTGATGCATTCAAACTGTAGTGCTAGGGAAGAACATTAAAAAAGTCTTAGAAGAAATACAACTAAAAATGTTCCTTATAAGTGAAGATGGCAAGTCTTTGATTTGTTTACTTTCTACAAATCATCAGGAAAGACAAATCACCAGAAAAGAAATCATGTTTGGTAAAGAATTGCTGTTGCTAACTGCCGTGGAGTTGGTTACGACTCATAGCAACCCTGTACCGCGTTTCCAAGGAACAGCTGGTAGGTCTGAACTGCCAATCTTGTGGTTCCCAGCCAAGTGCTGATTAAATCTAGGAAATGCTAAGAGGGAATGAATGATATAGTAGCTAGACAACAGACTCAACAGGTGACCCCACGCACAGCAGAACGAAACAATGTCTGATCCTGGGCCAACCTCACTACCGCCGCCACACTTGACACCATCAATGATGTCACCTGGCTGATCCATCTCGTTGGGGGTCTTCCTCTTTTTCTCTGACCCTCCACCTTACCCAGCATGACATCCTTCTCC